AGGGAAAGCCTACGCAGACGAGCAAATACATCACAGCTTGATAAGTGCGCGACAAAGACCTAGTGATAACCGACTTGGAGTCAGACTGAAGAAAGGCCTTGCTAAATAGTTTTGACTTTTTTTCACAGGCATAGGGCAACACTGTAACGGGCTGTTATATGATCAGATGTATATGTAGAAAGATAACTAAATAAATTGGATTAAGAAATAATGTCCTGGGCCGGCCCGTGGCTGACTCGGGAGAGTGCAGCGCTGGTAGCGCCAAGGCCACAGGTTGGGATCCTATATAGGGATGGCCCGGTGCCCTCACTGGCTGAGCGTGGTGGAGACCACACCGTGCTGAGGGTTGCGATCCCCTTACCGGTCGGAAATAATAATAATAATGTCCTGAAGATAGGCATCTCTCAAGGCCAATTCCAGCATAATTCATTTTAAATCAGGATACATTCTAGCAATAATCCCTTACTTCTTAACACACAGTTTATAGAGATCTTTAATACATATTATCTGGTTGAAATCTCATTGTAAACCACATGAATTCTAATATCCACAATAGGGAACTGCAGTTTAGAAGAGTCAAGTAACTGTGCCAAGATCAGGCAGCTAGTAAAAGTGGAACTCAGCTTTAAACTCGAGTCAACCTTTTCCACTCTAGCATGCTGACTCAGTTTTGTGATTGTTAATTAAAAGTTCAAGAGAAAGATGTAGAAAACAATTTCCTCAGAATAGGTGACCAGCCTGTCAATGTTATATTTATTCCATTAACTGACATTTATTGGCTACCTGTCATGTAGAAGATAAATAAAACTAGATTCTGTCTTTAAAAAGTTTATTTGAAGTTTACCTAAATTTTATCTTAAAATTTAGAACTTAATACAATTTTTAATACTTATTTCAACAGTGTTAGTCTTGTATGACAAGGTGTTAAGCTTCTTCACAATAACAGTAGCTAGGCAATTCCCCACACAGACATTCTGTTGGTTTTTGGGTGATATATCTTACTACCTTTCTTACCTTGGGGGTTTAGTTAACAGTTTATCTTTTTCCTTTAAGTGGGAAAGTAAAATCTGAGTTTATTTTTCAGTTCCATTTTGAGTTTTTTGTGTATTTGGAGTTGTTGAGACAGGCCCTTTGCATTGTAATGTGATGTTAAGGAAGTCAATTTGACTTCATTTCCAATTGAGAGGTTCCATTGGTCTAATTAAGGACTGATTTTCTGATTCTAATGATGAAATTCATACCAAGTTCTCGTGTTCTCTCTCTCTCTCTCTCTCTCTCTCGACTAACTTACGCTTGACATGAACGATACAGACTCATGGTGAAGGCAGAGAGCACTGGGTCAAGCCTTGCTCAAAGCCAGCCCTGCTATGGACTTCCACTTACAGTAGCCAGAAAAAAATTCATTGTTTTAAGTAAGTTTAAGTCAGGTATTCTTTTTACTTGTACCATGAAGCAACCTAAATGAAACAGAAGTGTTACTTCCAAATCTACCACAGTTGCAGTCTAAGAAAGTTATAAAGGAAAAACTCGGAGCAAAGATTTTCAAACTTGATAAGTAAAAAATGTATGTACTATCACATTTGAGAAAATAAGGCAGTCAATAGATTTACATCTTTTTCTAGTTATATGTGATTTTTTTTTCCATTGGATTACGAATTCTAAACTCTGTTTACAATAGCAGATTGAAAAATTAAAAGGAAAACATACAAAAGAAATTAAAATATATCAACTACTAAATAATTGCCAGGCATTATTCTACAAACCTTAAATACATTACCTCAAAGAATTCTTTTGGTTTTTTGGTAATGGTGGGTTTTTTGTTTTTGTTTTTGTTTTGTTTTTGTGGCTGGCTGGTATGGGACTCTGAACCCTTGACTGTAGTGTTACAATACCACACTGTAAGTAACTGAGCTAACTGGCCAGACCTATCTCAAAGAATTCTTATAAACAAACTAAATACAGATATTATTTCCATTTTATAGATGAGAAAAATGAGGCTCAAAGAAATGATGTCATGTTCTCTGATTCCATCTCTGTGTGTAGCTCTGGTGACTATTTCTCTCTTTCTGACGTCTGAAAGTTACTCTCACACACGTGCTGCTCCTGCTGTTCTGGTGCTGTGGCCTGAGTGTAGTCCCAACAGAGGCTCCAGGGAGGAGTAAGATGCTTCACAAATAAGGCACTAGAACTTCACCCTCATGTCATCTTTTCCATATCAAGGCACTGTTTTAGAACCTACAGAGAATGGCTGGCTAGTTAGCTCAGTTGGTTAGAGTGTGTGGCCTTTTAACACCAAGATCAAGGATGCAGATCCCTGAACCGGACAGCCGCCAAAAAATAATAAAAAACAGAATGTCTAGGATTCAAGCCACTGAGAAAAATTGATGTACATTTGTCTTGTATCATATAGGGCAGGGCTCTCAGGAGTTATGGTTCTGTTAGCCTGAATATAAAACCTGTTTTAATGAGAACTATAGAAATTGTATGTCTAATTAGCTAACTATATTTCTGGACAAAATTTACAAAAGTTCATAAGAAAAAAATTCAGAATGGAGGTATCTAATGGAAAAATAAATTCTTGTAACTTAAAAACACAGAAAGTGGTATAGCCACTTTATGAACGTATCAGTTAGGGAAGGCTAAGTTATGCTGTTAGCAAACATCTGAAATCTTAGTGGTTTATAACAACAAATGTTCATCCTTGATTCCCACTATAGGTTCGCCACAATGTTGCTGGATGCTACACTCTACATCTCCTGTCTAAGGAACCCAGGCTCACAGAACCCCTGCTGTCTGGACTAGAAGGGGAGAGAAGACAACAAACGTACTGATTCTTACTAAAGCTTTGGCCCAGAAGTAAAATACACCTCATCTGTTCATATTTCATGGGAACAGGCAACCCACATGGCCACAACTGACTTCAAAATGATGGGGAGGTGCCATCCTGGCACGTGTCAGGGGAGAAATGAAAACAGTTGGTGAAGAGCATTAATGACTATCTCTATAGAAAAAAATACTGGGCTGGGAATCAAATAGACATGATTTCTTGTTTCAGTTTCATCCTTTACTGTGGTGTCACCTAAACTTTCTGAGCCTCAGTTTCTTAGTAAAAATGGGAATGATGATGATGATGACAATATCCACTTCAAAGACTTTGAGTGTTAACAGGGTCACTAATGTAAAAACATTTGAAAACTCTAGAAAGTTATGCAAATTAAAAATGTATCTTGTTTGAAAATGATGTTGCAACATGGAATAGTTGAAAGCATACCACAAGGCACATATTATGCCCCAGGAAGAAAAGAGAAAGAAAATTCTTACGATTTTCTCTTGAGAGAGAGAAAACTTCCCAAAAGCCCCCCACAGGCATCCAGAATGGGCTGCTGACATGTCCATCTTGAGCCAGGCACTGGATTGCCTTTAGACCTCCAAAGCCCAACTGGATCTTGGGAAAGTATCAACATTGCCTACGATACTGAGCTGAGTACTTGGCATGAACGGTGTAAGAATTGGGAAGGAAGGGAGGAAATGGATACAGGGTAGGAATCCAATAGCTTAATTAGGTTATCTCAACAGAATATGATTGAATTCATCTTTATAAATTTGGTTACATAATTTTAATACATCCAATCAATGAGGTAAAAGGAAGTGCAGGGACAATATGACATCTGCCATTCTCTGTGGAGATTTAAGATGTAATAGTACCAACCAAGGATGTGTTGTGACCTCTGCCTTCACTGCCAGGAGGTTCCATCTTCCTGTAACTGGACTTTTCCTCCTAGAGAGGAAAAGAGGAGGGACCTCAACCTCAGAACAACAAGGATCCCAACTTGGGACTGCGTTATACATACCTCAGCAGCACAAATAAGTTGATTCCTAATGATTCCTCTTTAAGAAATGATTTGTAGAACATTTCTTATCTATTTATAAATGAAGAAAAAAAGTTAACAGAAAATTAAAGTAACAAATATTGCCATATATTGTCTACTATGTGCTAAGCACTGTGCTAAGTGCTCTGTATATATTGTCATTTTGCTGCCGACAACTCTAATAATGATGTTCTCATTCCTACCTGAGAGCTAAGGAAATTAAGGCCCAAGGAGATGACATATTTTGCCCAGTTTATTCAAGTGGTAAGATCTGGAGTCTGGATTTGAAGTAGAATTCATTCAGCATGCTGGTATCTCTACACCAGTGGTTTCCAAGTTGCTGCACATTAGAATCACCTCAGGAACTTTTAAAAATCCCAACACCCAGGTAACAGCAGAAGGAGAGGAACCCATACATCAGTATTTTTAATGATCCTCAGGTGATTCCAATGTGGAGGAAAGTCTGGAAACCACTGCTCTGTGTTACGTTGCATCTTCAGGCAGGAATTTAAAAGTCTTTCTCTTCCAGTGCCAAGAGCAGTGAATGATATCTTGTAGTGTATTCTCTCATTCCCAAGTAATCCTCTTGTTCTGTCTTAGAGTAACTAATTTTGAATTTTCCTTTACTACTTCTCTCACCCATTTCAAGCTAAAAATCTTGCAGGAGCTCCATTCCAACAGGACAGATGGGCACCGGATTCAAGAACTTTTGAATTTGTGATCAATGATGTGTTTTCCCTAATTAGGAAAAAAGTGCAAGAAGAATACTAGGTTTAATTTCCTTCTTACAGTCTAGTCATTCAAAGTCCACTGGAATTTAGAGAGCTTAATTTCTGACCTCTCTTTTTGCTTTATAACTTTTTATTTTGAAATAATTTTAGACTTACAATAAAATTAAAAGTACAAAAAACTTCAGTGTATCCTGCACCCAGATTCTATAATTGTCCACATTTTTCCATATTTTCATTATGGTTTTATGTATATTTTTTTCTGAGCCATTTGAAATAATTGCAAACGTGAAGCCATTTTACCCCTATGTACATCACTGTACATGTCCAAACAATATAGATATTCTCATATAAGTACCGCGCACTAACCGATTGTGCTACTGGAGCTTCAATATAGATATTCTCTTAGCCACAATACAATTACCCCTATGTACATCACTGTACATGTCCAAACAATATAGATATTCTCATATAAGTACCGTGCACTAACCGATTGTGCTACTGGAGCTTCAATATAGATATTCTCTTAGCCACAATACAATTATCAAAATCAGGATGTTAACACCGATATAACACTTTTATCTAATAATCAGATCTTACTCATATTTTTGCAATTATTTTTATCTTGCTCTCCTATATTTTTTATATAAAGAATTTCCAAAAGGGGTTATAGATGAAAGTTATAGATGAAGCATAGAGGAAACAAATAGTAAAATGGGAGGCCTTAATCCGACTATATTAATAATTACATTAAATGTTCATAACTAAACACTCTCTTTAAAAAGAAGAGATTGCCAGAATGGATTAAAAAGCAAGTCTTAGCCATCTGCTGTCTACAAGAGATGTTTGTTAAATACACAATTTTATTTTATTTGGGGCAGCTGGCCAGTATGAGGATCCGAAACTGTGACCTTGTTGTTACCGGCACCATGCTCTCCCAAGTGAGCTAACTGGCCAGCCCCCAAGATATTTGTTATGTAAAAAGTTGTCTTTACATGTCTTCATTTGTTTGTGATGAGCAGTCAGAGGTCTTTCAAATCTTTGCTCCCCTTTATATTTTCCTATATGTCATTTGCCATTTTTCTCTGCTTTAAAGAATTTCTCTTTGTTTTTGGTTTTCAGCAGATTATGATGTTACTAGACATGATCTTCTTCATCTTTATCCTTCTAGGATTTTTTGAGCTTTTATAATCTGTTTTCACCAGGAAAATTTGGGGCCATTATTTCTCCAATTATTTTTCTTCCCATTCTCTCTGTTTCTCTTGTTCTCTCATTAAATACGTATTAGACCTTTTGATATTATACACAGTTCACTAAAGCTTTGTCCTTTTATTATTATTTTTTCTCTTTGACCTTCAGATTGAATAAATTCTATTGATCTATCTTCCATATTCCCTGATTCTTTCTTCTGTCACCTCCAACCTTCTGTTAAAACCATCCAGTGATTTTTTTTTTTTGGACAGCTGACCAGTATGGGGATCCAATCCCATGACCTTGGTATTATAACACCGTATTCTAACCAACTGCACTAATCCAGTGATTTCTTTATTTCATAATTTTCTAAGTTCTCAAATTTCTATTTGTTTTTTTACTAATAATATTTATTTCTCTAATCAAATTTCCTGTTTCTTTGTGACGGGCATGTTTTGCTTTATATTTTGAGCAACAGTTATAAGAGCTACCTTGAAACTAGGCTGATTCCAACATCTGGATCATCTTGGAGTTACTCTTCATTGACTTTCTCTTTTCTTTTGATTATGACTCCCATTTACCTATTTCTTAAATGTCTGGTAATTTTGTATTATATCCTAGACATTCAAAAAATACAATGTAGAGATTCTTGATCCTGGAGTTCTTTGCTTGCTTGTTTTAACAGGAAGTTGTTTTGACTGTATCCTCTATACTTTGTCTCTTCTGTCATGGGGAGTATCTAAAATCTCATTTAGTTCCTTTAGCCTTAGCTGGAAGGATTGAACCTGCCTCACACATGCATAGTTCAGAGATCACCCAGTGGCTTAGGCAGAGTATCAGAATGTGGAGCTTCTGCTCTGTGGCTCTCTTCTCTCCAGAACTCCTCCCTTACTCTTACCTGCCGAAGTAACCCTGAACTCTGCCTTCTGGTTCTGCAAGTAAGGTTTTAAATAAACTTTAGATGGCCTCCTTCATTTGATTATAATTATTTAAAATTGGAAAGAATGCATTGGTCATTTCTGGTGACTAGTCATTCTTGACAACTACTTTAAAAGTGTCATTTTAAAGTTCTAATTTCCTTTAAATTAACATTTTTTCTCATTACATTCAAATGCTGACTTACAATAACAGTGAGAATGTGCTATGAACGCTTAACCACCCACACTAGAATTTTAAGTCTAAGTTCTTTTTGAATGCTGTTTTGGTGAATTTCAACGTGGGAGGTGAGATGATTCAAAGCTTCATATTTTCTATTATAGTTAAAGGCATAATTTCTCTGACATCTTTCATTGTGAATAAGGAATTACACTAGAATAATGTTTTTAAATAAAATTTGTCCACATAATGACAATTTTTTCTCTTCAATTCTGCCCAAACTAAAATAGCTCAAAAGCATTTATTTACTTATCATAGCTGATGAAATTATAGTCATTACACCTACCATCACTTCTCTTCTACATTATGCTGGAAAAAAAAGAATGTATCATTTTGTTCCTTCAGAAAATTTCCTGTATTCCTGTCTTTGTACTTTGTCAATTGATTGAGCCTTTGGACAGCTGAGCAAAGGATAGAACATACCCAACCCAGCCTCTGCCTCCTAACAGCTTACTTCTAAAAAAGAAAGTTCTTTTCAACATCGTTTTTACTATGCAGGATTATCTTTGTTACTTGTTAAGTGCTCTGCAATATAGAATGTAGATGTCACAGAGTTGGTCAGTGGAAGAACAGAAGGAATATGTGCTAGTATTAGGCCTTGGTTTAAGCTTTGCTTCTAGTTATGAAAGGCCGTGGAATTACAGATAGAAAACATAATTATGCTATATCTGTCTATAGGTATATTATCACAGAAATAAGTATTTTACTTTGCCTTACATAATCAAGACCTCAAATCACGGTTTAATTTATTAGTCATTATATGTGCAATTAATATTCAAACTAGAATTGAAAAATAACATTAAAAAACAGATAACATTGAATATATTAAAAACTAGACATTTACATTAGCATAGTATTTTATCTTCTAAAATAGACAGTATTTAAAAGTCATTTGGCCTTGCCATATAAACAGGGTTTGTGGATTTGTTTTTAAGTGAAAGTAGCTATCAATAGAGGTGAGAAGCCAGACAGAATAGCGTTTGTTTCCTCTTGCGAGCTTCCTAATTCCACTTGTAAGAAATTCATTGAGCTCATATTCTAGGTCAGGCACCAGGCTTAGTGCTTAAAGGGGCAAATTCTCTTTGGCTTAGCTCATCGTCACCCTGCAAGCATAGCAGATCCGTGTTATCCAATATTCTGATTGCTCAAGAGAAATTGTTTTTCCTGAAATCTGCCAATTTTGGAATATTGGCATCCCATTCAAAAGTATTTAGGATATTGTGAAGGCCAAATCAGACAGGGGTAAAGGAGGCTGTGGGGGCCCACAGGCTGCTGGTCTGTGGCCTCTGAACTAAGGCACAGCCCCCTTTAAGAAACAAGTACTGCCTGGGAGGATAACACATTGAGCAGTTATCAGCCAGACTTGTTTTCTGTGCTTTTCCCCAGTCCTAGCTGCTCCCCAGAAGGTTTCAACTAGCCATGATGTGAAACAAAGAATATAGAGCTAGAAGCCCATGAAGGGCATAGCAGGCGTGGAGGGGGAGACTTCCAAAATTACAGCTGCAGAATCAAAAGGAAGATTTTAGCAATCAATATTGAGCACCTACTGTGTGTAGCACACTGTGCTGGATGCCTGAAGTACAGAGATTCTTTAGACATGGTCTCTGATGTTACAGAGCTCAAAGTTTAGTAGGTGATAGACAGATGCACAAAAATTACAACAGTGCATGACAGCATGTAGATGGATCATACAAGTATTAAAATCTTCACTCGTTTCATCACACAGATGTTTCCTGAAGACATACAACATATAAGCCTGGAACTCTGGAGACATCATGATGAATAAAACAGACATGGTTCTGTGTCCTCAAGGTTTTTACAACATAGCAGGAGAGTTGTCTGTTTTTAATTGTACACATATGTACTTAACCATAATGCTAATAAATGCTACAAAGGAACTATGAAGACTACGATAGAACAATAGGGACACCTAACTCACTCAGGGAAAATCAGAAACAGCTTCCCTGAAAAATTACAACAGCAAGATCTGAAAAATAATGTGGAGAGTGGTGGGGCAGGGGCAGGAGAGTGGGCA